CGATGCCCCCCATTCACATTTTGATTCCCTTTAGTTTCGGTTCCCTCTGTTTTGCTTTTTTATTAAGCTTCGGTTTCCGTAAAAGGTAGCAAAGTATTTAAGCGTTACAGATTTATACATATATATATATGTACGTTATTTTTTTTGGCTGCGACAACATTTTCAACATTTCCATTAAAAAAATATTGATGCTGGTCGGTCGTCATCATGGGGACAGGTTGTTATCGTTGTAGTTGTAGTTGTAGTTGTTACTGTTGCTGCTTTCTGGTTCTGTCGTCATCAGTTTATGCTGTCATCGCTTTAAATTCGCCAGTCGGCAAATACTCAATCCTCAATACCCGATCCGCGATTTTAAAAAAGTACGCACATATATATATATTTAAATATTCAAAAGGTGTGCACTTTGGTTTTGTCGCAATTTATTTATGTTTGAAGTGATTTCTTGTTGAGTTTATAACTTATTTGTATTTTATTGGGTGAGGCCCATCGGGGCACATTGACAACTATTTAACACATGTCCGGCAAGTTCTTTGGTTACAAATCACTTGTGACAAGTTATAGAATGGCATATAAAGTTATTATATCAGCCGTTGATGGGCATCAAAGGGATCAAAAACCTTTTTTTTCTATTTTGCATTTCATAAATCACTGTTGAGGAAGGGATTGACATTCCAGTTATGGGTTGTTTATGGCTAGTGTCGGGAAATTTGAAAAATAAAGGCGTTTCCAGTTCAAAATGTCGGAATTCGACCCCAAAAGGATTACCAAAGATAATCTATCATTTCTGGGGGCTCTCTGGAAAAGGTATGCTAACAAGGCAAGTCGAAATAGAAATGTTAAAATGAGAAATTGTGTTTTTTTTTAATATTTTGTTGGAAATACAAATTTTTTAATTTTAAAAATTTCCACTTTCTGTGTATTACAAAAATTTGGGTTTGTTATCAAAATTTTCTTCAAATCAATTTAAGCCTTAGAATTCCTATTTAAACACTTAAAAAAGCAGTGAGCAATAATCAAGATTTGTCACTTCTTCTTATACAATTTCACAAATCAAAACTTAAATGATAAGATAAGTGGCAGCTTTTAGTAAATGAAAATCAAATATACTATTATCTATTTAAGAATAATATTGAATCATCTTGAACCTATAGTATTAAAGCATTTTGCTCAGGCGAAAAGAATCAATCAGTAAAAGTTTCATCCAAGTTCGGCAGAAATTAATTGGCTAAGCCACATCAATGTCTGGATGCGAAAACAAAACCTGATTGATGCCCATCTTTTAGTGGGCCAATTAAACAAGTCGTATGTCAAAGGAACTTAGCCCAAAGAAAGTATCAATGAAAATGTCTGGGCCAAGAATGGAAAAAGGGAAAGCAAACGGAAAAGGACATGGAAGCGTGTCAACAACATGTTTAAACACGAATTAGGCAACATAAAAAAGGATTTACAAATGTTATGTTCGATACGAAAGCAAACATAGAATTTGGGGAATAAAAGCTCGAAGGAGCTGGAAAAAAATCCAGTATTTGGTGGGGGCACCTAAACAGGATTACCCAGAAAAGATTGATAGATCCCACTCGACAGTGGAACTCATGTGTTGTGTTTGCTAATTTCGGGTTTTGGGTGAAATAGAAAGCGAAATTGAGTTATTGGTCGGGGTATTTGCTGACCATTTTGATTGATAAGCCAAGAACGAAAATAAATAAAACGAAAAGTATATAAATAAATTGCATAAATGCCGAGAAATATATAGAAATGATATTTGAATTTAGGGATTTTTTGGCCATATATGGTTACTCTAAAATACCGACATATATTCTAAAAAATCTTAAATTAAATATTTTATTACTTGAATAATAATTCATTTGAATAATATTCTAAAAAATCTTAAATGAAATGCTTTGTTCAATTTTTCAGGCTTTGTGCGGCGTTGTCTTCCAAGTTCCTACCATGTCCGGCGATAAGTTGCGCATCAGCACCATGCAGGAGATCATTAAGCCGAATACGGTGAAGCGAATTCAGGGATATGGACTGCCATTCCCCAAGGACACGACACGCAAGGGGGATCTCCTGGTGGCCTTCGACATCCAGTTCCCGGAGAAGTTGACTGCCGCCCAGAAGGAGGTGCTCAGGGACATGTTATGAGGGATTGAGGGATGGAAATCCTTACCAGTGGCGACTCAGACTCTCACACAGTCCGGCCAGAAAACACTCGGACTTAGTCATCCAACACAAACACAGCGCACTAAAACCAAACCGAATCCATCTTCCAATTCTATGTCCTATTCATCGTCTAACATCGCATCAATATCTTCCCTCATTTTGCTTGTTTTTTGTGTTCAGTGAAACATTTGCTCATTTCTTACAGGAACTCCTTCTTAACAATCGGTTTTGCTCATCTCTACGCCACGAACATGTTTGCATAATATATATATGTTGACCATAGTTATTATATCATTACTTCTTAATTTATTTGTCTAAATTAAAGCTACATTTAATAAAATTACACAAACACACACAGAATAAATGTGGAAGAAAAAACAAGCGAATGGTAAATGTGTTTTTAATGTGGTTACATTATTTTAGTAAATTTTAGAAAATGTACTAAAAAAGGTACATGTATACTTTATTAATTAACTGTGTTTCTGACGTTTTTAAATATATTGCATACTACTCCATGCATTTTCCTCAGAGTCATGTTTCTGCAATTGTAAAGTTTTCCCCAAAAAAACAAAAAACAGTAAAAGGAAAAGTGAAATTTTCTTTTGGTAATCGGAAAGCGTTTGGCTAATTAGCTGCCGTTTCCAGTCCCAGAAAAAAAAAACACTTCCCATGTCAAACGGAATGCTGCTCGTTAAGTCATTAAAATTGCATGAAGTCAAAACTTTATGGTCTGCAAAGTTTGCGTCAAAGCCGAACTAACCCAAAAAAAGGAGGAAAATGCTGGGAAGGCCGACAAAAAAAAATTAAAAATGGTGCAAAAGAATGAGAAGAAAGTTCTGCAGAAGAACATCAAAGCTGGCAAATGGTAATTCGTTTAAAAAGAAAGCCAACGACAGACGAGGACATAGACATCGACATACCCATAGACATAGACGCATTTCATTTGCAGACAATAAACAGGCAGCACAAGCAGCAACAACAACTCGAGGGCAAAGTAAATAAATTAAATTTTGAACAACTCTTTGCATACAAAATAGCGATGTGGAATGCTTGGCCGAAAAAAGATTCGGCAGCTTGCTCAGATTTCAAACACATGCCAGTGTAAGAGCTAGGGAAAACAGGACCAAGAGCTGGAGCTGGAGCAAGGACATCAGGATGAGTCCTGTGCCATGGATACGATGTCGAGGCGAGGCGAGTAGAGTCGAGCGTTCGATCTGCACGTGCCAGGAACACTCCACAGACCTCTGGCGCTGACTATGTAACAATTCGTTGCGATTTTCCACTTATTTGCTGAAAAACCAAGAAAAATTGAACACAACACTTAACAAAAAATATAGGCAAATTAAAATCACATTTTGAAAGCAGTTAAAAAGTTTTGGCCATTGGTTTTTGTTTATATTTATGATAAAGCGATTTTCAAAACTGCAAGTTAGAGAAAATAACAGTCTTTTCTAATAAAATACTTTAAATTTATAATTCTTGAATAAATATTCCAAGCTCTATTAAAAGTGACAACTTTAAAGGTTTATATATTAAAATTGCTATTTAGTTGTAAAAAAATCAATTCAGCTTGTCTTTCCATTGAATATTTTTGTCCCTTTTTTTGAATTTATTTTTTTTTTCATTTTATGAAAGCCATTATAATGTCAACTTAAATAATAATAATTAAAATTACTTGGACTTTTCCTTATAATAATAATAATAATTCAATTATTATATGTTACTTTACATTTGTTTTTATTAACAACGTTTTTTTAATAGCTGAAAATTTGAATTATTTTTTTTAAAATTGTATTGTGCTCAGGCACAACAGTAATTAAAAATACCAGATTATTTTCTTTGTGTGTCTCCCAGAGTTCGAAGAAAAATCTCAAACTTGTAGGCCGGAGTCGAAGCCGAAACTGAAGTTGAGGATGAGGATGAGCCAGCAAGAAGTTGGCTCGGCCATTAGCATTGGAGACTGGGCAGAAATGGAGGCCCAGTCAAAATCACAGAAAATCATCGACAACTGGCAAATGTGTGAATTGAATTTTCAAACAATTTTCCCCCGTGCAGAGAGTGCACTCCTCATCGTCATCCGGGTTGCTATTTCCCGGTTTCAGTTTCTGTTCCTGGCGCTTTTCAATTCCGCTTGTCCTGCCATTTCCCCGATTTCCCGCCGGCCAAAAAAAAAAAAAAAAAGGAAACGTGCATGATTTGAGATTTGATTTGGGCGGCGGTCACATTACAGTCGCTAAACCTCAGCGTCCTGTGCTCCTTTGAAGCGGTTTTTAAGCATTTCACTCACGTCTCGGATGTTTATGCCATTAGCGTTTAAGTTGCCCATACAAAATGCGACTCGTAAATAAGCAAACGTTTCTTTGTTTTGGCTTCCTTTCTTGTTTTCCATTGTTAAGGGCAGAAGTAATCGATGCCGAGGCTAGTTATTGAAAATTATCGAGGAGGAAACAGGCCATTCTATTAAATTAAATGAAGATTTGCTGTAAAATGAACAAAATTGGTTGAATGACAAGACAATTCACTCTTAAACTTCCGGCTAAAAGGAAGTCCCTATTTTAATGAAAAGCTGTTACAGTAAAATGAAATAAAAATAAATAAATTTGGAGCTGAACAAATATTAAATAGAGTAGATTAATTAAAAGATTTCAGTTTAGTATAAATCAATTCTGGCTGGCTTAAGATTTAAAATAGGCAAAACATTAATAAATTAAATATATATCTTAATTGAAAATATTTCAAAAATACAAATAGGCTTGGACTGAATAATTCGAAAGATTACTCTCTTTCGGAACAGAGTACATTAAAAAAGTGTAATTTGTAATTAGTTTAGTTATAAATATGGTTTTCTTATGTTGCAGTTGCTAAGTATTATTTATCAATTTATTATTTACAATTTTAATGCTCGTACAAAATCTAAGGTGGAAAGCTTTGAAAAAGCCCAAAAATATGCAAGACATAAATGCACAAACGAATAATTTATCTGCACTCCAAACAGCAAGATGAGCACGAGCAGGTGTTGATGAAGGGATCTGGATATAGCTCCTTGTAATTCTCCTGAACCAATATCTGGTTATCCGGATATATCTGCTTGCAATTCTCCTTCCGATTTTTATGACTAGCTGCTCGATAAAGTTTCCGAATAAGTGCACCATATGGTTTTCGCGTCATCACGTGAGTGGTTGTCTTGTGTATTTCATAGACACAATTGGTCTGTAGACACACAAAGGGTTCTTCAATTTGTAGGACATTTTTCAATTTTAAGTTAGGTTGTAGTGTGGGCAAGGCAATCCTCTGGCTTTTATTAGAAACCGGCTTGGTCTTCTTAACTTGTTTTTTGCTCACCATCCTGGGCTTATTCTTTTTTACCTTATTAGTCTTGGGCAGTTTATCGCTTTTGTTTTCTGTAATAGCCGCCTGGATCTCCGCTTCAAAGGATTCCTTACGCTTTTCACTCTTTTTTCTCAAAGACGATACCATTTTGTATCGGCTTTCTATACCGTTAATGTTTCTTAACGTTTTCTTAAAAGAAACCTCGACTTTCTCAACTTCCTGCAGCGTTTTCCAAAGATTACTTTCCATAATTTCGTACACGACAAAATTTTACTCAAAAACTATACACATTTACTTGAACAGATTGCAATAATAAATGAATTGTGTAGAAAAGGAAAATCAAGGTAGCTAGATTTTGATAATTTTCTGTATGCTTTGCCATTGGGAAATTCCGATATGAAACGACAAGTCGTAAACAGACATTATCGCACATTACCACTTGATAAACTGTATTGATGGGAAAACCTAAGCTTCAACTCTATTTTTGCCACTATATATAAGGTGGATAACTGAAGTAGAACATCAGTTTAGAATTGCACTTGCTATTGCAATAATGCCGCCACCACCTCAACATCCTCACAATCCACACCCACCCAAGGGTCCTGGACATCCTGGGGATCACCATCCAGGTCCGCATCCACCACATCACGAACCTCCGAAGCCTCACCATGGACACCATTAAGATTGGACACAAAATAAGTGAAAACTTAACAGGATTTTAAAAATAATGGGTATGTATGTATAGAGTTAAATCATTATCAACAATAAAATGTAGATTTAAAACTATAAAATGCCAAAGAAACAAAACTGAGTGACTAAAAAAAAATAACGTTTGTTTTGTTGAAAAAAAATTCCCGTCCATCTTCATAGTGGTTTTATTGGAAAGCCTGAAATACTTATGAGCTAAACAGTGTCCACCTTATCAGGTTGGCTGATTAGATATAACCCTACTCGAAATATATAGTTTTTGTATAAATGGTTGGCAAAGAGTGGGTGAGTTCAGTATTCAACTGCAGTTAAAGAAGTAAAGATGCCGCCACCACCTCCGCACCACCACCACAACCCACCGCCCCATGGACCACGCCCACAATTCCAGACACCGGTGCATCCCATTTATTACGAGCCTACTCCCCAACCAGGAAATGGATCCGGCTACGCCCCGCCGCCGCCACATGGTCCATATCCCTATCCACCTCGTCCTGGATGTGGATGTGATCCTGCGCCAGGATCCCTAATTCAACCTCGATAAGGACTGAACCATTAACTGGAATTAACAACAGACTTATTAGATTTATAAGTGCATTTAATACAAAAAAATAAAAACAAAAAATATTTATGGAATACCAAATATTCTAACTAAAATTATAATAGATTTTCTGACCTTAAGGGATTCACAATCTATATTTAATAGTTCCAAAAGTCTTCCCTAATATATAAGTTAATGATGTTGTCCAAAGGCGTTCAATGTTTTAATTGTCTGTATTATACAAAAAAGATTATTAATAAAATAATATTTTAAAAATTAATAAAATTTAAATTTCATTTTATAAATATCTGGATTTCTATATTAAAATGGAACATTGAAAAATTTTTTTTTAAGCTTTAGTAACAAGTTACTAAACTTTTAATTCGTGAATGCTTTGGTAGAGGTAAATCTTAATAGAAGCACTAGATTTCATTTTTTCTTCACTATCAATTGATTTACACGACTTGTTTTTACAATTATCTAAAATAAATTGTGTATATTTATTTTACTTATTAAAATTGTTTATTTTATTTTTTCTTTACTATCAATTGATTTACACGACTTGTTTTTACTTTTATCTAAAATAAATTGTGTATATTTATTTTACTTATTAAAATTTGACCACAAAATATAATGTCACTTTTCCAATGATTTTGTTTATTAAATATAAGTAAGATTTTGTTTAAATCACACTGTAGTAAGGTACCAAAAACAAGTCCACCTTTGTAAGGTTCTAAGTTTTATAAATATTTTGTTTTTAAATTCTTTTTAATTCAATCCTTATCGTGGATGCATTGGAGGTCCGGGTGGGTGGTCATGGTGCGGAGGACCATGGTGGGGTGGACCATGGTGTGGTGGTCCGTGGTGGGGTGGACAGTGGTGGGGTGGACAGTGGTGCGGAGGACCACAGTGTGGTGGTCCGTGGTGGTGATGATCGTGATGCGGAGGTCCATGATGCGGAGGTCCGTGGTGGTGATCGTGGTGCGGTGGTGGCGACATCTTTGCTTGAAGAACTGCAGTCAAGTACTGAACTTACCAGCCTTTACCAGCTCACCTTTTATATACAAGAAATATGTTATTTCAAGTACACCCCATCAGATAAGGTGGGTATTCCGGAATTCCCAATAGACGGCTATAAAGATAACCGACCTTTCCACTCGTAAAAAAGTTGTCATTCTCCTGGGAATAACTCTTCCATGAAAGTTATTTATGTATTGTATCAAATATTCTTGATTTCTCGCATCATATGAGTAAATATTTTACTGGTCACCTTTCACTAGGAGAACAATCAATCAATCACAGGAATTGGTGTTGACAAATAGCTTATCGCTTTAGTTGAATGTCATGTATTCTTAACTGAACTTATATGTATTTGATTTATTCGTTTTTGCCCTGTTACGCAAAATTACATTTATTTAGCAAAATGTTTTGTATTCTTATTTATTTGTGAATTATTAGTAATCATACGTAAATATCAGTTGTAAACTTTATCTATTGGGTTGTTTAGTCTTTGAGCTCGATAGTGCTTTGCTTATCTTATCAATAGGAAATACGCATTTGCTCATAGAAATTTCCTGACATTACTCAGACTTTAACAAAGATTATTATGGTGATTTTAGGTACTATGTTTGGTGTTATGACTTTCTTGATTTCAAGGGGAAGTACTAAGAAAAGTAAAAAGTGATGTAAGAATGTAAAAAGATCGGAAAGTATTTAATATTTTAGTTTGAATACTTATTAAAATAATTTTTTTTCGATTACACTGCTTATATAATAATTTATTTTAAAATAATTTAGCATCTGTTCACTTTTTCATACTAAAAGAAGGCTTTCTTGTTCTAAGACTTCAAACATTACTTATTCGCCATGCGGGCTTATATGACTATGACCTTTTCACTAGGAAAAAAAATATAATAAATGCTTTTGTTGCGATAGCCAAACCCCTTTTGTGTCCGCAATCACTCAGGCGTTTAATAATTGACTGCATTTGCGGTTGAATCCCGATCGACTCGCCCATCGGTGGGTAATAAAATAGACTCGGGGAAAAAATCAAGCAAACAGCAAATAAAATTTATAACAAATCTAACACACATACATCATTTTGATATGGTCACGGACACGTTCCGTCCGTCTATTTGCTTAAGGATGGATGCCTCATCGGATGTGGACAAGGTCCTGGGGAATCTGTTGAAGCTGGAAAAGCTGAAAAAGCTGAAGGCAACTTTAGCCGGGACAGACACATTAATTTTGCTGCTCGCTTTCCTAACCACATGCAATTTTTCTTGGCTTGTGCTCCCTCGGCTATCGCCTTTCAATGGCTGGAAGCAAAAGTACGGGGAGAATAGGTTTGCAGGGTAGGGGATGCGGGATTCGGGATGGGTATAGCCTCACATCCTTCAGCCCAGTCAGTTAGTCAGTCAGCCAGATAAGTGCGGTTTATGTGCAGCACGTAGACCAACTCAATACACTCGATAAATTGCGGCGGCGTTTGGCTGCTTGAAAACGGGAAACTTGACCGCATCCAAAAGGGGCGGTGGGAAGTGGGTAGGGCATTTTTACAGATGCATCAGGATTATTAGCTTTTTTTCACCAGTTGACTAATTTAAGAAGTAAAAAAAAACAATTGAACAAGTTTTCTTAATAATAGTGTACATAAACCAAAAGTGATATAAAATAAAGCTAAAAAAAAACAAAAATTTTCTTTTAACAAATCTTAAAAAAAATTTTACAATTTCAATAGGTATTTGGCCCTTCTCTTTTTCTTGCTTTACAGAAAATAAGAAGTAATCGTTCTTAATATTGTTTGACTTGACTTTGCTAATTTTTCCTTTTTGGTTAAACTAATATTAAGGGTTTTAATAAACATAAATTTATTTTAGTAAATATTTTTTTTATTTAAGAAAATGATTTCATTAAAATTTTTAATTTTTTTTTGATAATCTATAAATAAGTAAAATTGCTGGTGCCATACCCTCAACTGTTTGCGAAGGGGTGATAGCCACCTCGAGTTCCAAATTAATGTAGTGCAGTATTTCTTCGAACGAAAACTGCAAGTGGACCCTAACCCTCCGAGTACAAACCTGACTTTGCCCCACCACCCCCCCAAAAGTTAACTTAATTTCCTATCATTGAACAATACTTGATTAAATAATGTCCAAAGGCATTTTATAGCCGAATTCCGATTGGAAATTCCAGCGAGCCCCTTCACAAACAAACGAAATTCCATTGCAAATTTACTCATATTAAAAGCTTATTAAAGATCAAATGCCCAAAGCATATTCCAACCCCCTTTTCACCCACTTTTCCGCATTGGGGAAAAACTCATCATGGCAACAACATTCCAGGGCATGGGGAAAAACGGAAAGCCGCGTAACGGAAAATATGTTATTAATTCAAATTAATATAATCCAATTTTTTTCGCTCCTTCCTCTGGAGTTTTGCACGGGAAATGGAAACTACTTTCTCAGCGCAGCGCATTACGGAAAGATGTTTTCCCTTTCCGCCACCGGATTTTCACGGGTTGTGGGTGGTTGTTCTATGATGTATAGACATCGTCGTATCTGGGTTGGCATGAGAAATTGCCCGGTTTGAGGATTTGTGGGTGTGCCTTTTGCAAACTCGTGTATGCAAGAATGTGGTGGGTTAATAATGAGGCCACAGACAGCAGCAGACGGGCTTAAATTTGAAAAACATTTGTCTTGGTTATGCCATTAGCTTTTTTGCATATGATTATTTCTAGGTTTCCATATTTTAGGCTAATGGATTCATTTGTAAGAGGTTAAGTAGAAGATTAGGCAAGCAATCAAGTATTTAAGCTCTTTATAATCTCAAATGAAGACTAGCCATCTTGCATGGCGTTTAATCAACTTAATGCACACTATAAACTGGAAAGTAGAAACAAACTCATCGATTGCCTGGCAATCTATTGTCTTATTTAACCCACATTCAAAGCTCACTCGATGGCAAATCACACCCAGACAACTTCATTTCAAATGCTTCTCAAGGGAGATATCCAATATGCACTGGAGAAAAATGTTTAACAAAGATTTTAAAGTATGGAATGAAAGTTTAAAATTGTTCCGACAGTTGTTGAACAGAAAAATATTTTTAAATATTAATATTTATAATACTATTACTCGTAACTTAAGAGAATGGATGAGATTGTATTATTAGGGGTCCTTAAACTATAAGATTTAAGTATAATTCTCTAATATAATTTGTCTATGTGCAGTGCAAACCACATCCATATGCAACAGTTGCCGATGTGTGTGCCATCTAACAACTACCATTTACCATCCCGCAGCCACTTCCTCCAGCCATGGCCATTGTTAGCTTGTTGGTTCGATAAACTCCCTGCCAACAGCCAAACAAATCCCAATCCGAATCCCAGCTGCACCTAGTTTTTCCTTCGCTTTTTCCTTATTTCCCCGCCAATCGAGTCGAGTTTAGTTCGATGGCGAATGCCCGGCGGTGAGCAAGTAGGGAAATCTGGAAATCTGGTATCTGGCTGAGTTGCTGAGTGCTCGGCATAAAACGGAAAACTTGTTTGGGATGGATAAACTGCGGGGCAACAATGCGGCTGCTGGTGGTGCTGTTCCTTTTCCCGGTGAGAATCCCTTCAAGCGGCCAATGAATGCCCTGCAGAAGCAGTGGTATCGCGTTTTGCTTGCCCGCCGAGTGGGCTTCGGGCAACGTCCTCCTCCCGATGAAAAGGAGCTAACGTAGTAAGTCAGACAGAATCGCAGTAACAGCCCCCTCTGTTCAAATCAAATTGTGTGAAAATTGCAATTTCCTGTTGATTTAATACATTTGTCCCTGGGCAAAAAAAAAAAGCGCCGACATTTGTCGCAAGCGTTATGCGGCCTCGTTCCGGCGATACAACGAGCGTTTCCGCCGGGAAATGGCCAAGCACGAGGAGATGCAGCGGTGCGCCATCGATGCTATGAGGGTTCACAGGTGAGAGCAGACAAATCAGTTAACATCCTGATTTTATTCCAAGAGTCTACGGCATCAAATTTATTTAAGTGTTCAATTATAACAAAAAAAAACAATATATTGAGTTGTCTAATTTTAGCTAGACAACGGATGATAAGCGAGAAATGATTCTTAACATTCGATTGTAAGCGAACTTTGATGAAATACAAATTTTTCGTTCAATTTTAATATTAATTTTTGTTCTCTTAAAAAATATTTTTTTTTGTATAAAAAATATAAAATTTAAAATTTTTTAGTATTAAGGTTATATTTTAAAATTTATTTTGTTTGTATTATCCCATTTAATCTAGAACCTTTGCCATAACCACACTTTGGCTGCCTTTGCACTCCAAGCGGGAAATTAACTCCACATTGGAGACCCTCGAGCAGGTGAGAAACCTTCAAGTTAAATCTCAGATTCTAACAAAATAACTGGTATTTTCGTTCAGGTCCTTACCGCCAAGGAAAGACGACGCCTGCAAGAGATACTCAAGCAAGGACAGTCCTGGCACTCGCATCGCTAAAGAAAACATCCTCAACTGATGCCAAGGACACTCCTCGGATTCAAATTCAGATTCCAATTCTGACTCATCCTTGTACCCATCATCATCGTCATCATCATTATCATCATCATCATCATCTGCCTCGGCTAAGTGAATACCATTTAGCTTGGATTTCACTCGGATTTTTCTTCGCTCACTTCATTTTTCACTTTTCCTTCATTTTGTTCTTGAAATTTCACTGTCAGTGGCCAAGGCATTGTCGTAAATATTTAATACCAGTAAAAGGCAAACTTCACTTTGGCTAAAACAGGAACTGTGTTGGGACAAGATCATTATTCTGGAAGGGATAAGATTATTGAACTGGCTGAAGCAAAAAGGATTACTGCACTTTAGTTTCAATATTTTTTGTGTGTGAAAGCTTAAATGACAATTATGTTTAAGCTTCTTAAGAAATCTGGCTTTATTTTGTTTAAAAAATACTTTACACTTATAATTATAATAATAAACTATAAATTTCTGATATATATATTTTAATATATATTTTATTACATTTTCTTATTTGTTTATTATATATTTTACAATAAAATTTTAGCATTTAACATTTTTCATTGGTTGTTTTACATTTTGTTTACTCATTAAAAATATGTTTAACATATTATGCGTGTATTTTTGTAAGACTTGTTTCATTTAATAATTTTTTTTATATATTTTAATAATAAAACCAGTTTGAAGTTATTGTTAGCTATAACATAACCCATATTCCAAAATACATCCCTTTTTCAGATTTATTGTGTTTTCTTTGGCAATCGATTTAGCCTATTAAAAACTGCTGCCTAGGACAAAGTTTTCCAAAGTAAATATGTCATATGCCAAGAAAGGATACCATACCATAAAACACACTTGTTGGGGGGTTGGAAAATGACTCCTAAGACGGGGGTGGATTTTCCTAAATCCCTGCAAAACTGCAGAGACAAAAGAGCCAAAGTCAGCTTGAAGCTTAACCCACTCGCATATCCCAGTGACATTTGCTGCCAGAACTAAGGTTCGATAGTAGGCCAAACAGCAAAAAGGGCTCAACCCAATATCCTTGCCAACAGCAAACAGCAAACAACAAACAGCAAAAACAGAAGCAGAAACAGAAGCTTTGGCCAGCAGAAAAACCAAAAGAAAACCCAACTCGTAGGCTTGAAATGCCGCAGATGTTTCAGTTTGGCATATTGCCGACTTGACAGCAAAAACAGCTGACAAAAAAAAAAAATGGCAGAACCAAACTATTGAACAAAGTGGCGCCTGTCGCACTTTATGACGAGCCTGCAGTGCCCTTTTTCTTTTTATTTTTTCTTTTTCAATTCTTGGCCCCCTGCTCCACCATTAAAGCAATCACAGAAATGTGTTCTAATTTAAAGCCGTATATATGGGAAAGCAAACAGTGGAGGAAAAACAACAGACAGAAGAGACAAAGGAAACAGCTGCCAAGAAAAAGAAGGAAATCAAGCAGGGAAAATAAAGGAGTATGTGAGCAATTTGTACTGGGAGAAAAGTGGGGTTAGCCAGGAAATTATTAAACAATGACAAAGCGTAAGATGTACGTCAGTTTATTTTTTTTTTTTTATACTTTTTTAGGCGAATTTTTCAGGAGTTTTATAATCAAAAACAAAACAAAGAATGCTTTTTCAGAAGATGATATAAAATTTATATTAAATTTAAAGTCAATTATTTAAATATGAATGTTAGTTTATTTTTAATGTAGTACTAAGTGGACTCTATAAGCTTATATTTTTGTTAATTATCTTAGCAAAATGTTTAATTTAAAAGTCTAATCTTGTCTGATGTCAGTGTAAAATTTGAAACTGCAGTTGGGCAAAATGATTTTAGTATTTTATGTCTGTTTGAGTTGTTTGTGTCGTCGATGGCGTAGAACTCACTGCTCAGTGGTGAGGTCGTGCCCAGTATCAACATTAGTTCACGGTAATGTCGCGAACTTTTCCTGGCCTCAGCTGTTCGTTTGGCATTGGCTTTGTCAGCGTTTATTGATGGCATCAAAGTGTTTTTCAATTTATTTTATTTTTCCCCGGCAATTTATTGGCACGCTCTACAGTGGGGGTCGGTTTGCTTTTGGCCTTTTCCCTGGATGTTTGTCTTGGCCGTGGATCCAGATGCGAACCGAGCAATATGATTGATGTTGCAACAATTTTGCAGCATAATTTTAGGCTAGCCAATACATAATGGAGAGGCCACGGCGAATTGGTTACTTCAAAACAGACACGTAGGAGTCGTTAAGTTGAAATGGCCAAAGAAGTTCAATTGATAAGAAGCAGGAGAGATTGCCTATAAAAGGGATTTAAGGTTGTAAATGTTAAGAGTTTGATATATTTCTTGAAAGAGATATTAAAATACATTTTTACAATGTTCCTTTTTAAAGATTGACAAGGTTTTTTCCATGTATATTTTAAAATATTATTATTATTGTGCTTGGACTAATTCTCATCAAAACTTGAGTCAAATAAAATTTAATTTGATCACTCAGCTAAGTATAATTCTGCAATTATATTGTTCAGAAAAAGTGCTTTAAAAATTGTAAAAAGAACTAAAATCTGAAGACTTTGTATTTAATTTTCTACCTTTTCAGCAAATATTCATTCATAACATATATTACTTAAAACATTTCATTTAATGTAGTGCCTATAATTAATCCCATTGCAGAGCAATTATAGCATCAGCATATTATTTCGAGCTCTGATCCGTTTAAAACCAATAAAAAAGAGAAAAACTGCTAAATTGCCAAATGTCAGAAGCCAAGTTAGTCAACAAAATCGAATTGGAGGGGTCAAATGTGGGAGGCCTCAATAAGTACATATATGAATATGAATGCATGCCCTGGCACAATGAGTTGATAATCCCAATGGCAAATGCTCAAATAGAGGAGGGAATTGGGAGGGGCGTGGCAGTGATATGTCAGTGGCACACACACACACATGCAAACAAACACTGACATCTATCTATGCAAAGCCATAAAGCAACAATAATAAACGCACATCATCATCATCAACGGCGGCAGCGCTTTTCCCGCTTTTCCCTCAGTTTTTCCCTTAGATTTCCCCCCTTAACCGCTGCTGCTGTCAGCAAAAAAGTATGAAATATCATCTAAAATAGGAAATGCGTAAATGCGAAATCCTACAGAACGGAAACTCAACTGAAAGCGATGCGCCAAACGAATGTTGATGATTTCCCCCACCTCCCCAACGCTTTTCCACTCCCATTTTCCATGCTCTGTATGAAAGTCAATTTTTCATTTAGATAACTTTGACATACGCAAACGTCATGGAAAGGAAGGAGTTTCAAAACAGTGGTTTCATTACAATGGGTGATGTAGAGTATAGGATTTTTAAAACATTTATGGTGAGTGCTACAGAAATCACTATGTTTTTGAAATAACTTATACAGGTAAAGTAAAAGTATGAAATTTTAAATATATTTTTAATCCGAAAGCGTTTTGAGAAATCTGTAATTTGTAATCTGTAATAGAAAAATATACATTTTTTTTGTATGGAAGGGAAGAATTTTTCAGTTTAAGGAATAAACTTTGTACCTTCTGGTAGTTGACCTTGATACCACTGTGCCTTTGGCACTTTGCCTTGGCCACCCCCAACTCCGCCCAACACCGCCCACCTCCGGCCACCACCCCCCTCGCTTTGCATGTGTGCGTCTGCATACAATGATTTAGATTTCGGTCTCAACCTCGACTGCCATTCCTGCTGGCGCCAGTCAGTTTATCCTGTGGGGTTTCATCGCGGAAATGCGGGCAGCGTTTTGATAAATGAATTTTGCCCCAGATCTAACATCAGCACCCCGCCCCTTTCTCCTTTGAGTTTTATGTGTGTGCATGGCTTAAATGAAATGTTAACAATTAAACGAAGCCGGCGAAACGACAAACGAAATAACACGAAAAGACTATCAGCACAAAGCAAGTTGCTAGGCTGTGTCGGGTTAATACGTTGCGTATACTTAATAAAATAAATAATTCTTCTCTTGAGGGGTATTTGTTTCATGTTGATTTTTGCCGCTTTGTTGGGTGGTTGTTTAGTGTAAACTTAAGAAAACAGCAGAAAACATAAGTGGCAAAAGGGATAAAGATTTTTCGGTAGTGTGAGTTGTTTGGTTTGTTTCATTAAGGAGGGTTGTTTCTGTTTGCAGAAGTGAAGTTATTTTGTATTTACCGAGTATTTTTGTTCACCTGCCGCCCCCCCAAAAACTAAGCAGACACTTACACATTGTTATAATCATAAAAAGTATTAAAAAGTAACGAGAAGAAGCTGCTGAGTCTTACGTTTTGGGTTTGGGTGAAGCAGGTGGGGCCATTTTGAAGTTGATTGCCCATTTTTAGGATGCTACACTTGTTTACCTACTTGTGTCCTTTTCTGGGGGGAGAAATTCTGTTGTGCGAAGGAGAATCTGGCCGCGGCTTAGGTACAAAATTTGCGCTTACGTTAGCGTGAAATGATGTTCGGGTAATAAAGCGAAGAAATTTGGTTGGTTTTAGTTGGCAGAAAGGTGCTCTACAATGGAAAAATGGTTAAAACATTTTAAAATTAATTTAATAATATATTAAAATATTAAATACATTGCATTACACCAACTTAATTAATATTATTATTTAAATTTAATAATTTGTAGTGCTTAACAGCAAGGAGCTTAATGTTTTTTAATAATGAACAAAACCAAAATAATACCAAATTATGTAAAAGCAAAATGTATAATTTTAATACATCTTCAATTTAAATGGTAAACATGGCCATCAAGTTTTTTTAAGTATAAAAGTATGGAAAGGAATATTCAGAATATTTCCTTACATGTTTAATGTTATAAACCAATTAGTTTACTTAATCAACATGCCGCAAATAAACATCTGTAGCGCAGCACAATCATATTTCACGCTTTGTTTCATCCGAACAGACAACGCAACAAGAGGCGGGCAAAAGCGGGCATATAAAATTTTATATCTCCACCATAACGCAAAATCCCAGGGAATTACCTGAAAAGGTGTCCTCCCCACCCAAAAAAAAAAAAAAAAACGAATTGAGCCTACATTTTAATGAAATATGTTTAAAGTGCAGAGGCAGCTCGTAAATACGACTTTATAGTTGATATACGGGCACGTATGCTTATGTGCAATACGATTTGGACAGCTGCGAAAGTTCGCATGATATTTTATTAAAGCTCCAACTTAACCTTCAATATGGTGGGGCAGCATAAAGTTGTGCACCTGCCACACACTTGTGTTTTTTTTAAGTTGCGGTCCATGGAGGATGGTGTTTCTGTTGGCTTGGACGCAGGTGTTTGGCTACGTGGTCGAGGGCAAGGCAACAAAGAAGCCAACCGACTTGGAAGCCACAGAAGCAAACTCCAACTCAGACTCCAGACTACTGACTACTGACTCCAGACTTTAGACTCCAGACTTCAGAGTCCAGACTCCAGAAAACCAGACCCG